GTTCATTTCATAAGTGACAAGTAAAAGTAGCCGAGCAGAGATGAAAAACAACAACATCATCCAAGCCTTAGTCCCAAAAGATTTTGGGGTTGGCTAACATGAATTTGGAAAGAGAGAATGAAAATTAAAGTTATCTTTTAGATAGGAAAAAGTAGGAAAAGGTGCCTGAAATGAAAAGTTGGACTGAAACTTCCCTGAAAGGGAAGTAGGGCAAGTAAAAGTAAACAAAAGGAACACAATTTCGAAATGGCTAGCAAATAAACCTCAATTCGATAATCCCTAACTCAATGATCTAGCATTTGAGATTTCTTTCTGCTAGCCATAAAGAGACAGAGACCAAGAAACGGAAAGAAGTGAATGAGACATAGTTAATTGATTGTTCATGAACTAATTATGATAGTGTACATCATTTGGTTGTTCCGTAATCTTCATGAAGAAATGTTTCCACAAACACACCTAAACATTAACTATAACTAAAGAACTGACACGAATAAGAGTTTCACCATTTAAACAACCACAGACGCACTAAAATAATTGAAAATTAAACAAACAGCTCAAAGCTTGGCCTGGTATAGTTCATTTAGACTCCTACTATTGATGCAAATGTGGAATGCATAAATGGTACCTCAACTATTGGTAATGTTGCATTTTGGTACCTTAACTCTTAAATGAATCAAAACGCTACCTTAACTATACATAAATGTTTCAAATTGAGATTTTAATCAAATTTCTGACCAAAAAACACGTGGCGGTCAAAATTCTATGCGTAAAGTCTACTTTACCTTATTTTTGTCCATATGATCACTATAGGGTGACTCTGCACATGAAATTTTGATCACCATGAAGGACTTTTTTGTTAAAAATTTGAATAAAATCTCAATTTGAAACATTTATGTATAGTTAAGGTACTATTTTGATTCATTTAAGAGTTAGTACCAAAATGCAACATTACCAATAGTTAAGGTACCATTTATGCATTTGACCCTGCAAATGTGACTACTATCATTCAGAGGAAAGATCAAATATTCAAGTGGCTGGGAAACTTTAAATAATTAAATCTATCCAAACAGGTAAGCAAGAACCACAAACTGCACTACTGCTATGAAACATAAAGATCACCCCCTACTAATTCGTTCCTTTATCTCGTTGGCCTCTTTTCAAGATCAATTCTTTTTCAAAAAATAGATAAATTAATAAAACCACGCCTTCAATAGCATATCTCTCAGAGGAATAAAACTTCAAAAGAGCGTCCAAATTCAATAAAGATGTATTGCACCTTTGGTTTTGATGAGAACTTCGTTGGCTTTGGGGCGGGGCATGTGGAAATCTTCCAAAGTTAAAGGCTTATTCGGTTCCCAAAAGACGGCTGCGCGCATGTAGGACGGACCTCCCTGCAGATGATATGCTGAAGCGGCATCGGAGCTAAAGGGTCTCTTGTTGCAATCACCGCCACCGTGACCGCTTGAAGTAGAATGGTAAGGAGAGCATCCCCCGAAGGCTGCTGCCGTTTGGGAACATCTACTTTTGCGGAGGAGGTTGCGACCGGCGATGGCGCGGCGGAGAAAGATAGACCCACGGCTGAATGCCATAACTTACGTTGGATCAGTGGATGTGAAAGTCCGAACAGCAGAAATCACACAGGTGAAGTTAGCTTTCCTACTTGAGTTCTAAACCACTGGACTAAAAAGCTAAACTCAAGCGAAGTGTCGACTGCTCCGTCTCAAGTGTCAAAAATGGTCAAAAAGAAAAGAACAAGAAGATGATTTTACTTTGACTATAATTTGCCTGTTATGATTTGCCTGTCTGGTCTAATTTAATATGATCTGGTAATGTCTAGTCTTTTTGAATTTTTATAACTATCTAAGTCTGATCTGGTCTGATCTGGTCTCGGAAAGATTACAATCCAAGTAAAAACGTCCTAAATGTAATGTGGGTTGTTCTCGCGGAGGTGCACAAGTAAATGTAGTCAAAATGGTACATGAAGTTGTTTCAAGTGAAGGAAGTAGTTTTTTCTATCTTAAACTTGAAACTACAAAGTACACAAACTTGCATTTTTAAAGTGATTTAGTACATTTGCTATGTTAAAACGTTAAAATAGCTTACATGGCCAAACTATCATTTTGTAATATACCATTGTCCAAGTCATCAAATTATTAATATATAAACTCTAATTTTCTCTAGCTCACTCGTTTCCACTTTCGCTTTCACTTCTCTCACTCCTCATCTTATATTTCTCCCGTCTGCTCTCTAAGGGCGGAGCCAGGGCACTGGGCCAGACAAGAGCAGTATAAAGAATATTTTGAGAAAAAATTACACATAATTTTTACTTTAAAATTAAAGCATTTTTTAAATTTAGGATGGGTCTTGTCTTCTATCCCTGCTATCCCACCGGCTTCTTCTTTTATTTGATATCGCTTCATCTTTATTATAGCAAGAGAAGAAGAAAATAAAATAGAGTAAAAAGAAGAAACCGACGGGACATCGGGGACAACATACGAGAGAAATATAAGATGTAGAGTGAATTTGAGAACTTGGACTGCAACTGTATAATACAAAGGATAGTTTGGTCAAGTCAGCTAATTTGACGTTCTGACAGAGCAAATGTACTTGATCGACTATAAAAACATAAGTTTATGTACTATGAAAATTCAAATGCAAGATGAAGCACCACTTACTCCCGTCGAAACAACTTCAAGTGCCATTTTGACCATTTTTTAGTAAATGTAGCTGTTTGGAGACTTTGGAGTTGGGACATTTCTATGATGCGAAATGAAATCAATAGGTAATTTTGGGCTTATCAATTTTTTTAATAAACAGATAGTTTTGATTTCTTAAATTGAATTACATAATAATCAAAATAAATAAATGTAGAATTACTCTTTCGATTGACCATTCAATTGACACAGCTATTTTCAAGATAACCAAACGAGCTCTAATGTACTTTTTCCTGTCTCAAAATAATTTATAAGTTTACACTATGAGAAATATAGTTTCATTTTTGTGGGATTAACAATCACATGAAAAATGTAACATTTTACAAAAATGATATTGTTTGGTTTGAATTTAAGCATGAATGAAAAAATGGGAGACTTTCTATAGCTCTTGTAATGTGGTATAATGTGGTATAATGTGGTAAAATGCTATGTAAAACATTTTATTCAGAAGGATATATATGTTTGGACTTGAAATAAGCGATCCTTTTGCGTGCAATTTAACTATACTGTACAGTCAACATACCTAACCAAAAGGGTAAAAGGCTTAAGGAAGTTCCAAGATATGGATAAGAAATAATGGTCCAGATATAACTATCAAAGTTTCGGTTCACAAAAATATGATCGATTTGGATTATGACCAAAAAGTGACCCGGCCTTTTTTCTCGCATCGATCGTTTCCCTTACTGAACCGTCCGCGTCTTCCTCTCAAAAAAACTTTCGCTTCTTCTCCTTCTGCGCCGCACTAACCCTGGGGAAGACTTCTCTCCCCATCAACAGATCGAAGAGACTGAGGGGAAGGATCTATCCATCTCCATAGCACCTCTGTCGTCGAACTCAGAGAGAGGTGTTACGGACCTAACCCATACTAGGCTCATACCAGTGTCATAAGTCCAGGTGTAGAACTCACCCCTAAAAGACCGGCCGATTAGGAGGAAGGAACACATTGCTTATAAGCCATCGGCCAAGCTGGTACTTGACCGGTGTGGGATCGTAACAATACCCCACGCTTCGAAGAGCCAACGTCCTCGTTGGTCACGGCTATGTTGGTCACGGTTGGCACCCCCAGGGCCCAAGCCACCACTCCGAGTGTCGGGACTAGGAAGATGGGGACGGCTCTGATACCAATTGTTACCGACCTAGCCCATACCAGTGCCATAAGCCCAGGTGTAGAACTCACTCCTAAAAGACCAGGTGATTAGGAGGAGGGAACACATTGCTTATAAGCCACCGGCCAAACCGGTACTTGACCGGTGTGGGATCGTAACAAGAGGATCGATCTCCATCAGCGAACTCACTGACCCCGTTACCCACCACCCCCCACCTACTCTGTTGCAGGGGTGCAATTGGGGACGATAATTTGATGTGGAGGTGCAATTGGGGATGGTGTCCTGCTGCGGAAGCAGTGACATGGGACAGGGAGTGAAGCAGGGGCCTGGGGCAAGGGAGGGGATTGGGGCTGCGGATGGGTGCGGCTTAATTGGGGGCGGGTTGTAGTGGTGGAATACTAGGGGACGGTGTTGCGGTTGTGCAAGGGTTGGTCAGGGGTTGGGGGCTGCTGTGAGACTATGAGGGTAGCAGGTACTGTGGGGGCTAGGGGAATGTTGGCTGGTGGCTGGGGTATGTAGGGGAGGGGAGGGGGAGGGGGAGGGGGTGTGGTGGTCGGAGGTAGTGGTCGCCCACGGCAGCTGGAAGTGATGGTTGCGGGCTGGAGGTAGTGGTCGTCGGTGTTGGGGATGGGGCTTTGACGGGGGGTGGCTACCCAAGGAGGGTGAAGGCGTGGGCGGTGGACACTTAGGCTGGTGGAATGGGTTTGGAGCGGTTGTCAAGTGCATTTAGGGTGCTGGGGCGTGGGGCCGGCGGTTGTCGGGCTGTGGCCGATGGAGCTAGGCGGAGATCACTGGATAAAGTGGTGTTGCGGCGGAATTGGGTGGTACCGGCGGCGGCGTCACTGTGGTGATGTGACTATGGTCGGCAACGTTACTGTGGTGGTGGCCGCAGTGACACGGGCGGTGGCCGCAGTGACACGGGCGGTGGTCGCAATGACACGGGCGGTGGCCGTAGTGACACGGGCGGTGGCCACAGTGACACAGGCGGTGGTTACAGTGACATAGGCGGTGGTGACAGTGACATTTCATAGTGACATTAAAACAGGACAATGACATTAAAATCCGGGAATGACATTAATATGACCTTTCTTAATCACTTTTTTGCCCCTCTTTAAAAGTGTTCACTTTTTTTGTAATTGGTTCGAAATTAGTAATATTAAAAAAACGCTTGGTCATTTCCCAAAATGTTTTATTCAATCAATTCATTTTTTCTACAATCTAGTCCCGTTAATATATTCATTCAGTGATTGCTCTAGTACAATGTCGAGAAGCAAAATGATAGATTGCATTAAATCAACCACTACAAGCAAATGTAGAGGCGTGTCACAATATGCAATGTTCTTGTGAGGTGATTGCCTTCACAAGTTCACAACTTAGAACGAACTGGATTTGGTATATCCTCTCATAAGTGCTCCCTTTGTGCGGGCGGACATCCACGATTGGCCAATCGGAGTCGCTCCACCATACCAATGCAGTTTAGAAAGATCGAACTAGTAATAATAATGTAATGTATAGGGTGACACTTGCTAATTTACATTAGATGCAGGCTGACGGAGCACCCAAGTGCTATGGTTTAGTTGGGTTGTGCCTTGGTGTTCTTCTTATGACCTTTGCCTTGTACAAACAAACACATAAAATAGTCTCCGAGCTTTTAATATACTTGTATCAGACTTCTTGAACTGGCCTTGGAGAATTCATTTTTGGAGTCTGAATTCCATCACTCTCTGTTCAGTCAAAGTTTGACCAAAAGCCCCACTTCAAAGAAGCAAAAATCTTGAAACTTGTTACCCGAGGAGTGGGCATATAGTAAAAATTTAAAAGTTGGGTGGATCCAAACCGACTTCAATCAACTTTTTCTTCATCCTCATTCAATGTTCACACTTCCTTGATCTATATAATTGCTTGTTAGCTTGCTGGAAAGGGACAGCCTTGGCATCTTGCTGTAAGTAGCAGCTAACACAAATTATAAACACTCGAAATCCTTAGGAATCATAGTACGTAAAGATGGAAGAAATGGTAGGAGAGATCGTGGTTGTGCCATTTTTCGGCCAAGGCCATCTCTTCCCCAGCATGGAGCTCTGCAGGAAATTCTCATCTTTCAATTACAAAGCTACTCTGATCATCCCCTCTCATCTCTCCTCTTCTGTCCCCTCCGATCTCCGCGGCCATCCTTTCATACAAGTTGTTGAAATCCATGCCAGCTCCGATCCAGCTCCGCCACCACCGCCGCCGGAGACGGGTCACCCACGAAACCAGTTTCGTCAGCACCATCAGCAGATGGGGGATGGGATCGAGAAGATCTTGTCAGAGAGGTATGGCGGGTCTCCGGGAAAGACCAGACCCGATTGTGTAGTGGTTGATACGATGATGAGTTGGAGCAGTGAGATCTTTGCGAAATTCGGTATACCCACCGTCTCTTTCTTCACTTCCGGCGCGTGCTCCGCCGCCATGGAGTTCGCTGCGTGGAAGAACAAGGCCGACGATATGAAACCGGGAGAGATCCGGATCCTCCCCGGGTTACCCGAAAGCATGGCCCTGAGTCACTCAGAGATGAAGAAGCGTCACCGATTCGGCCCTCGTGGACCGCGGCCTCATTCTCCTCCACACCACGGCGGAGGGATGAGACACGGTCCTCCCGGACCTGGACGCAAACCGATTTGGTTGGAGGAGACGGAATCATCAATCGCGTTCCTTATCAACACCTGCGACGTTCTGGACCGTCCGTTCATCGATTACTTATCAGACCAGATTCAGAAACCGATCTGGGGAGTGGGGCCGTCGCTGCCGGCACAGTTCTGGGAATCGCGCGGCTCAATCCTCCGCGACCACGAGGTCCGGTCGTCGCACCATGAATCCAATTTCACGGAGGATGAGGTGGTGCAGTGGCTGAACACGAAACCCCGCCGGTCGGTAATCTACGTCTCGTTCGGAAGCGAAGTGGCCCCCACCATGGAAGAATCAGCGGAGCTAGCGGGTGCACTGGAAGAATCAACCCGGCCATTCATATGGGTCATCCAACCAGGCTCCGGCATACCCGGACCTCCGGTCGGGCTATTTGGTGAGAAGAAGAAGACAACCGATTCAAACGACGAAGGATACTTCCCGCATGGTTTACAAGAGAGGATTGGGAACAGGGGATTGATCATCAAAGGATGGGCGCCGCAATTGTTGATATTGAGCCATTCCTCAACCGGAGGATTCTTGTCGCACTGCGGATGGAACTCGGCGGTGGAGTCGATGGGGAGAGGGATCCCAATTCTGGGATGGCCGATTAGGGGCGACCAATTCTCCAATGCCAAATTGATCGCAGATCATTTGAAAGTCGGGCATATACTATCATCCGGTGAAACGGAAACTGTGAAGAGAGATGAAATTTCGAGCGGAATTGAGAAACTGATGAAGGATGAAGAGGTTGAGAAAGGAGCGTTGGCGTTGAAATCGATATTTGAGGCTGGTTTTCCGGAGAGCTCGACCGCATCTTTCAGCTCATTCATTAAGCTGTTATTGTCCAGCAAATAGATTGTCACTTAAGGCCACTCACACAGTCGCACGTTTAGGGAAAAATACAGACCAGAACTCTTCTCCTAATCCTCAACAAAAATTTTATAGGCATCCCATATTGTATCCACCTCCCAATTGTCTGTAATTTTCTGTCCAATTGTTAGTGTACACAGGCAGTGTACACGTTGAGGTACAAATTGGGGTACATCAGACTCCTCTCTATTCTCAATTATCAGGCTTGTGTTCCTATTTATATAAGGATAAAGCTTTATAATAAGGATGTTTCCTTTTGGGTTGTGTTCAATTATCAGGCTTATTGGGTTGATCTAATTAAATCTTATATGATAAATGTATGATCTCTATGTATGTTATAATTACGGACATTTGGTATGATTGTCTGATTTGGGACCGAAATAATCCAAAAGAAAACTTTCTAACACGTAGTACTAGTTATTATTACACGGGTTGCACGCGATAGGAGATGCTTAACGTGATTATGGTTGTGTTTGTTTTCTAGCGGGTCCATGCCTACCCGTTGCAAAATGCAGCGGTTTGGGTAACACGCTAATATCCAAACGCAGTCTATGTATTTAAGATATGTGTGTTGTGTTTGTTTATGGCAAATTGTGTACATCAATTAAATAGATTTGTACTCCGGCCATGTTACATTTGTAGGCTATTATCACAAACTCACAAAGACGTCAAACTATTTCAAACAAAGCAGTCATGCGTGTATTAGGGGATATATGCTAGAAAATCATCATTTTCATACTTGTTTAACAGAGTTGCTTGGGGTATCCCAATTTGTACCCCAATGTGTACACCGTCTGTGTACACATGCATTTGGACTGAAAGTTGTGTTCTCTTTCAAGCGAACTGTCTGTGTACACAAGCAATTTAGGGAAGTAGGTACAAATTGAGATACAATTTGGGTTACCTATAGAATTTTTGTTTGTTCAAAGTGGTAGAGCAATTGGAACGGTATGTCGTCCTAATTAAAAGCTTTTAATTGTTGGACTTCTTATTGAATTATAACATGTAAAATGAAGTTTGATGCAGTAAAGAAGTTAATCCATAAACTGTAATAACTATAATCTGGATTCATACATGGCGTCTGTTAATATATCACTGAAATTTTGATTAAACATGATTATTCCTGTCCGGAAATTCCGGACAGGAGCCCCGTCCGGCCTCCTCCTTTTGGGGGCCTTCGCGGTGGTATTTTTTGCTCAAATGTTTTGTGTAGGTTGCTCATCCAGTCTAGTTCATCCATACCAAATTTGAGCCAAAAATTCAATCGGGAAGGTCGCCAAATGATTTTTGCAAATTAACTGGTTCGGAATATGCAAAAATCATTTGATGACCTTCCCGATTGAATTTTTTACTCAAATTTGATATGGACGAACTAGGCTGGATGAGGAACCTACACAAAAAATTTGAGCACAAAAAACCAACGGGAAGACCCCCAAAAGGAGGAGGCCGGACGACGCTCCGATCAGGAAATTCCTGACCGAAGATTACTCTTTGATTAAAAACCTAAAAATGATGTAATATGTACGCTAAAATAAAATCGCTGCAAGTGACAATTGTATATTAAGAATGACAAATGAATAAATTACATTGTCAATTACAAGTGAAGTAACTAACGAGCTGAGATAATGTAGTTGCATATGTGAATAGACGATTGTCTAGTTACACATTTTAAACAACCAACTTAAAAAATAAAATGGGCTACAAAGTATCAACAGTTTTGATATATTTTCAAGTGCATTGCCTTCCTCTGTTTCCATGTCAAATTATTTCCAAACAGGCAAACACCTTTATGTTGGTCATCACATTACAATATCAGCCCTCTACCGTGCCAAGTAACACACACTTGGTAGTACTCAAATATTGAACACGACGTCTTAAAAAAGAATACATCAATGACTCTTAATATTAAAAGGTATGTAGTACTATACAATTGCATATTACCTTAATCTTTCTTTGTTTTCATTACTACAAAACATACCTATATACATATTGAGCACTTCATGACCTTACATTCCAATCACAAGTACTAAATTACTACCAATCACAAGGGTATGGTGTGTATTTAAGAGTTACTAGTATGGTACAAGTACATACATTCTTATGAAAAACTTACAAAAGTGATATGTGACAGCATCATATTATTTAACACATCCACGTCATCTTTACATCAAACGTGATTACAATAACCACATCCCTTATTTGTATGTGTTTGTTGTAAGTTTTTTCTGTACTTATAACATTTTTCTATATTTATTGGGCATATTATGTGTGCTTGAAACAAAAAATGTTTAAATAAGTTGACAACATAATTTTAGTGAAGGTATAGCACGTTTATGTATATCTAAAAGGAAAGTATTATGTATATCTAAAAGGAAAGTATGAATTTAGAAAATGTCACTTTAACTTACCTGATTAATTATCCTAACTATGAGAAGACTCTAATTCCTAAATAGATTTGTTGTAGTTTATTCATAAACAAAACATCATATAGAAAAATGTCTTAGTCATTAAAATAATGAACCAGTAAAGGAATACTCCCTCCGTCCCAAAATGAGAGTTTTGTTTCTTTTGGGCATAAAGATTAAGAAAGTGTGGTAGAAAGACTCAATAAACCTTACTTTATTGTATTGTTCAACATTTTGCTTTTACTGTTCATTAAAAAGGGGGAGTATAAATGATACTTAACTTTTAATTCTTTACTGAAAAAAGAAACAAGACTATCATTTTGGTACACCCCAAAAAGAAAATAGATGATCATCATTTTGGAACGAAGGGAGTAATTGTTAACTTAAAAATATGAGAGCCAACAAAAATATAAACAAACCTGAGTGGTAAATAGAGAAATGATTATATGAACAAGAATCTTTAGGAGTCTGTTTCACAACGAAATAGAGTGTGAGGCCGCCATGGCCATAGTAGCTCACCATTCTAGATTAGCCGACCAAGATAAAGACTGTATCCTCAAAAATTTTAAAAGTTGTGCAATAAATCATCACAACTTCTTTAGCTTCTACCACAATTCGCCTCTGGAGCCTCATTCTTTTTGTCGACTAATCCTATGTGCGAACCACATTCCCTGAATCGGCATAATTGGTTTTGATCTATGATGCTTTTTGTGATCACCATTGTTGATCAATATTATCAAGTAACTGATATTGATGGATTATAATAATGCAATGTTAATAATATACTCCGTATATCATGTTTGCGCTTCAATTTTGATGGAGCTAATATCTAGTAACGCATTTGTTAACTAATCACTCACAACAACTAAAAACTTTGAAGTATCGTACATGCATACTTCACAACTCAAACATAGAAAATTAATACTATAATGTAAAAGCTAATGAGATTATGTGTATGTTTAGTAGACATAAGTCTCTACATTCTACCCTTATATGTACAATTTAAAAGGTTTCTAAAAAAATCTAGTTTTATGTTGAGAATGACAATTTATTTGAGCTTTTGTAAAAATAATTTTTTGGGAAAATAATGATGACCCCCTTTAGGGTTAGGTGATAATTATTAAATCAACCTTATATTTTTAGAACTGAATTATTTACCCCTTAAGCTTTTACTAAAGTTAGAATATCCCCCTTTTGTTAAATTTAAGTTGCTTGGACCGTTAATTGTAAGTGGAATTCCCAAAAATGTCCTTATCTATTAAACTAAACTAAGGAGTGGTATAAAATAAGAGTACATCAACTGAAAGTTTCCAGGCTTACTCCAAAAGTATTCGAACAAAAAATTAATGTTATCCCAAGCATCATTGCAGCACACTTGAAAATTTAAAGGAAAATTCACTCGGTTGTGTATTTGAAGTAGGGGTGAGCAAAAATACCAAACCGGCATGGTGTCAAACCAGATCGATATGGTACCGGACCGAAAAACAACACTTGAAAGGGATCTCAATTTTTTTGTCACGAGCCTGACCGTAACGATTCTAAACAGTGTCATGACCGGTTAAAATTTGTACCACTATAGTTTATCTGAAATTTAATAATTATGTAATACGAAGTATGAAAATTGATAAATTATGCGAATTTTTATAGGATGGTTAAATTTTAACTTCCACTTAAACACTTGAATAAGTGACATTGTTTGATATTAGTATGATATGGTACCGTTCCGTTTGAAAATAGAACCGTACTGAACGGGTTTGGGTCTAAGATCAAACCGAATCGTTTCAATAGTCACGATATGGTACGAGTTCGGCAAAATACTAGACTGGACTGGACCGGACCCCCTACTTTGAAAAAAATACGTAGATGAGAGGATTTAACAAATAATCCCTAAACAAGGGTATTTTAGTTAAAGAAATAGGCATTTGATGAAAATGTTGATAGAAGGGGGAGATTACAACATTAATCGTAGCTGAGGGGGTAAATAGTTGACTTTTAAAAATATAAAGTTGAACTAATAATTATGATCAAACTAGAAGGGGGTAATCATAATTTTCCCTAATTTTGTTTAGATGTCATGGTAAGTAGCATCGAAAAAAGTCTGTAGCTATTAGCATTATTATCCCGTCTCAACAACTTGTTTACCAAACATGATTAAATCAAAGAGTCAACTTTTATCAAACAACTACAACATTTTTATTTTAAGATTTTTTTCATTCATTAAAAGTTAGCAATTGCTATAAAATTCATTAAAATATCTTTTAAGCTAGTTGTATCATTACCTTCTAATGGAAGACTCACTCTGGAACACATTTCCCATCCAGTGATAACTATATACTCCGTACTAGTTATCACTGGATGTAAAGTGTCACCACGAATGAACTCACACTTTACCAGTTTACCCAGACCATAAACTCTTTCATGACGGATTAATTACGGCAATCAACTAAATGTTAAATTGTTAATGCTTTGGAGAGCGGCACCTGAACAGCTAATTAAGCTCTACACATTATTAAGGCTCAATTGTTTCATCTTTTATGGGCTGTCAGGCCATATTGGCTCATTTTGGTAACTCTACACCCACCCTATTTATAGGGTGTTGAGGTTTATTCCCGAAGATCCGAAAGCCCAACACAAGCCTTGGATATTGTAGGGATATTGGGTTGGATTGAAATGTGTATAAAATATAAAATAGTGAGACAATATTCAACTCAAGAACTTACTTATATTCTGTAATTAAGCAATTACACTGAAACTACCCGAACGGTAGATGAATATGAGATTACAAGGATGGGAGATGTAAATTATTGCTAAGCTCTGAGTCTTAAAATGCTAACCCTTTACAATGATTTAAACTGGGGTATTTATACTATAATGGGGATGGGTAAGGTGGATACGTGGCCGAATCTGGTAGGCTATCACCTCTGCCATGTAAGCACTCATGCCCCCACTTGCAGCTGTCATGATCCAGC